AGGCACTTCCATGGAAGATTCTATCCTAAACAGGGCAAGGGGTTATATTACAAAGGAACAGGTGAGCGTAGCTCCACCCATGGGGCTATAGCAAGACACACCCATGCATGAGACACTGTCCCTCAACCAAGAAGAGTGGGGAAAGCTCTGCCACATTTCTGCCACTGAGCACTTCAGCACCCAGCCAGGGAGTGTGACTCAGTCACATGCAAGGTTGGTATCCCACAGCTGTTATTTTGATTTCTTAGAACCTTTGAATGTTCACACATCAGGGATCATAGCTCTTGTCTTAAGCATAAAAGCTGAGGCCAAGAGATGTTGAATGATTTCTCTATCTCAGGGTACACAACAGGAGCCAGACTGAAGATTGCTTTGAAGATTTTTTAACCAGCACCTTTTCACAGTCTTACCTTTCTAGACTGATGCTTACAAGGTGCACATAATATAATGACTGAGGAAATTTTCTGAAAAAAACAATGCCTTCTATAAATGCAAAATCACCAGGCTTGGTAATTAGTTGGTTATTTAACCTTGAACTTGGAATGATTTGGCTCTTGGGGGTTTCATTTCTAGGGTACCTTCCAGATTCCTCAGATATATTAGTGATTCAAATTGTTTTATTAACAGTGGTTTTCTCACCACCATTGTGTAATTCATTTATAGCTAATAACACAAATAATGCTTTTTCTGAACAGATCAGATGTCTATTTCTCAACCTGAATCCAGGGATAACTAGCAACTTTAAATTGTACTTGTCATAGTTAATAAAATGGAATTTCCTGTGTGCTAGTTCTTTTCCTCAGACATAGTAATAAATATCTATCACCTGCTCTATTAACTGTTAAATGTTCCTCTTTTCCTAATTTTTTTTGGAGGGGGATGGGGGGACCAGGGGTTGATCCCAGGGGTGCTAAACCACTGAGCCATAGCCCCATCCCTTTTTATTTTTTATTTTGATACAGGGTCTCACTAGGTTGCTTACAATCTCACTAGGTTGCTGAGACTGGCTTCAAACCTGTGATCTTCCTCCTCAGCCTCCTGAGCTGTGGGATTACAGTTGTGTGCCACCATGTCCAGCTTTCCATAATTTTTGTCATGATAGATATAGAGTGCTTGTTGGAAAACTTGAGCACCTGTCACATTAAATTGTTAATTTCTTTCTCTCTAGATAGGCAATGTTGTCCCTGTCATTAAAAAAATAAACAAACATTTTCTTTTCTTGGCTTATAAAATTGCTGCTACCCGATCTATAATTTTATGTGAAAACACACAGAATCTGAATTCTTTAATATCACATAACTTTAAAATTCTCAGTGCTGGTTGGAGTCAGGATGAGATCCCAGGTCGACTGTTCTTTCTTTCTTTTTTTTGAGAGTATATTCTAGTTAGTATCTCTCGCTATACTGTTGTGCCTCTGGTATTTATATATTCCCTCTAATTTTATGTGTATGTGTGTCACTGAACTTTTGCATCTTAACCCTTGAAAATTCATGGGTTAAATGTTTGTTTTCAGGTAAAGAGACATTTAATTAAGAGCCAATTTACTTATTGCTATTTGATACTTGAGGATGTTCACCACAAGGTGTCAATATTGTTCCTTAACTGAGATTTGAGATTTCATTTGTTTTACAATTTTAGGTGGAAAAAAGTAGGGGATTTCAATGG